TTATCAATTTTTATGCAATTCTAAATTTTTTTCACAAAGTGCCATTTTCAATTTTGTCGGTCAATTACTATATATAAATGTAACAAATAAAGCTACGGCAACGTTGAAAAAGCGTTGCAAAAGGGTCTACTACGACGTTTAAAAAGCGCAATGTTTAAAAAATGGTCTATCGCAACGTTTAAAAAAACGTTGCAAAAGGGTTTTTCGCAATGTTTAGAAAACGCTGCAAAAAGTCTTCCCTCTACAGCAACATTGATCTCTGCAACACACGTAAAACGCTGCAAAAGGTCTATCACAGAGTTTTTTGGCCACTGCAAAAGGTGTTTTTTGGTGTAGTGTAAATTGATATTGATGTTTCTTTGCTCAACCATTTAATCGATAAAAGTTTTAAATTTTTTCTGTCTTTGATTTCCCTTGTTATTTCTACATTGACATGTCATTATAGAACACTGATTTTATGATAACTTTCCCATTTTCTGGTTTCATGAATAAATTTACTTCTGAAAATCTTTTTGCTCGTCCGGGGAAATCTAGTTTTTTGTGGGAACTTTCTTTCTATATTATGCCTGATATTGATGCACAGGCTGCTGTGAACTACTCTCTCTCTCTCCCCGTTTCTCAGCTTTGAGCCCTGCCGGACCACCTTCAGGACTACAACATGTATAAAGGTGCATCCAGGTGGTTAAATTTGCCAAATTGAAGAAAAATTAACAATGAGGCTTTTAACCCACAACATGTTGTCATCAAACATCAAAGGTGTGGCAAATGACTTCCCTCTGCTGATCGAGGTTGAGAAAGTAGTGGAAAAGCAGGTGGACTTCAACGAAGACTTCTTGAGGAACATGTTTGTGAAGATTGAATGAAAGGCCCTGGTTGAGGCCTCCAGAACAAACAATAGGCTACACTGAGCTACCCGAGAATCCTGAATCATCCATGCTCGACTCTGATGAGTTCCTTCGCAAATTCCATCATGCACTAGTTGAGCTTCATTTTGAGGAGGGTACGTTAGTTTGTCCTGAGTCTGGTCGTAAATTTCCTGTTAACAAGGGGATTCCAAATATGTTGCTTCATGAAGATGAGGTCTGAATTTCTCTTCTTAGGGTTGATGCTTAGGTTCTCAAGGGGCTTTTCTTATGGCATATTAGCTACCCTATCAGGGACGAGTGTGAAGGATTTCAATTTCATTGAGAAAAGATTTGCATTTAAAAAAAAAAAAAAAAAAGGCTACTGTGAACTAGAGTCAGGCACCTGGATGCATGCACATCTAATACACGAACTGGCAGGTGGAATTTCTCCACCAAACATGTAAAAGGTAGAATATGTTTACAACGCCCATTCGGCAAGGTGAATTATATAGTATTGGATTATTATGCAATATAGTCAGGGGCGAACGCAGAAGTTTAAAGTTAGGAGGGTACAATCGAATTTGCAAATAAGTTGGGAGAAATTTTACAATCGAAAATTTACGTCAAAAAAATCATACCCCATGTAATTTTGCATTCAAAAATTTACATGGAATATAACTT